GCTGTGCCAGAATCGACTGACGAATCTGGGATCTCTGTCTGATACAACCGTGACGGGCACTCCGTGGAGTCGGATGATCCCACGGGTGTATATCTCAGCCAACTTGTCCAGAGACATCTTCATCGATACGGGTAGAAAATGCGCCACCTTCGTCAGTCTGTCGACCACGACCCAGATAGCGTCGCGATGTTCAGCCGACCTCGGCAATCCCGTAACGAAATCCATAGTAACTTCCTCCCACTTCCACCTAGGAATCGGCAGTGGCTGTAGGAGGCCAATTGGACTCTGATGCTCGGCCTTGACTTGCTGACAGGTAAGACATCGCCTAACGAACTCTGCGACGTCCCTCTTCATACCTCTCCACCAAAACGACCCCTTCAGGTCGTGGTACATCTTCGTGCTCCCGGGATGGGCCAAGTAAGGTGCGGTATGTGCCTCTGATAGAATCTCCTTCCGCAATGCCTCGGCCTTCGGGATCACGATCCTGCCTCTGAACTCCAAGGCACCCTCGGCGCCTAGCTGAAAATCCTGTACTCTTCCGGCGCGAACCTTGGCTTTCATGACACGCACAAACTCGTCAGAAGCCTGTTCTCGCCGGATCCTCTCCCTCAGTGTCGGTTGCCGCTGCATAGCACTGACACTGGCACTAGTACTCCCTGAGACAGCTGTGGGGAGTGCGTCAATTGCCTGAAGTTGCATCCGGGCAAACTCATGAATCAATGGACTTTGCTGCGTAATGACGTACGTCAAATCTCCCGTCACCTTTCGGCTTAGGGCATCTGCGACGACGTTCGCCTTCCCGGATGATACTGGATAGAACAATCATAATCCTTGACCAATTCGAGCTAACGGCACTGCCTCATATTAAGCTCCTTCTGCGTGAAGATGCACTGTAGGCTCTTATGGTCAGTGAATATCTCGCAGCGCCCGCCGTAAAGATAATGACGCCAGATCTTTAGGGCGTAAACGACTGCGGCTAACTCTAAATCGTGCGTAGGATAGTTCTGCTCATGAGGCTTAAGCTGACGTGAAGCATACGCAACGACCTGTCCGTCCTGCATAGGGACACATCCCAAGCCCTGCCTCGAAGCATCGCTATAGATAGTGAAACTCTGAGAAGGATCGATTGCATGACTTGAGAATCCAGTAATTTAATACTGAATAAAAGATTTGATCTGAACTGAAAATACATCAATTCACAATTAAGTGAATTGTAGAATACTGCTGACTGAAAATGGACACTTTTCTGAAAGAAAGTGTTCCACTGAAAATACATGGTTTCAAAACGAAACTCTTGAAATATGTTGGTCATCCTCTCCTGGCTGCTGGCGGATCTCCAATCGGAATGCTGGTGGTGAAGACTCTCTTCGCAATCTCCCCGCGTACTGAGACTCAGACATGGCATCCTTGAATGGAAAGCGTCGGTTTATCATCATGGCACGATCCGTTGTTGTCGATTGGCTCTTCTCCATCGCGGCGAATGTCAACCTGTGGTACCTGCAACTTTTTACTCCCTCTGAGGTTACACTTAACCTCAAGAAGAAGTCCTTCATGACTTAATATCTCCCACGATTTCTCAGATTCTTCAGAATTTGAGAATCGAGGCGCTGACATACTGAAAATGGTAGATAAGTCTTGTCTTACCAGACAGACTATCCTCGATCTTAACATGACTGGCCTGAATACTCTCATGACTAAATAACCATGACTTGACTTTCACATGGCTGAATCATCTATGTTTGAACTCTGAAACTATCCCGAGACAACTTAAATAGTTGCTTCGAGATTGAAAACATGATATTTACTGACTTACTTGACTTGATAAGGTGCGACTTCAAGTTTCCAGGTAAATCTGGACTAATGGTCTGCATGTCAGACCGCCACATTTTACCCGGCTGAACAACAATTATACGTCGACCTTACATCATGAACATAAACTGAAAATCGTGAATCTGAACTCTGTACTATATAGGGCTGCTCCAGTATCAACTGGTCCCGCAAGTACAAAGTAATTAGCTGATCTAGATTTCTGAAAGTCATAACTTAAAATATCATAACTGATAAAAGATCTGACATGACTGACTTGAAAGGTTGTTATTACCTGAAATCTTACTGATTCGGCCCCAGCTTCAAGCCTCCATGGTATACCCGACTGAGTGGCTCTTATTTGAAGCCTCCATGGTAACCCGGACTATTGACTCTTATACACTGGAAACCATTACCTTAATAATAACTTGAGAACTATAACAACCTTTAATATGAACATTCTTGCTTTAAACATGACTTTCTGATCTGACTTAGGAACTTGGAGTCTATTCCTCGAATTAATCAAGGAATTTCTCCCTGAAGTCTGCCAATTGATTGACAAAATGGCAGTTCTCGATAAAAATTTCTGAGAAACATGATTCTTAAGATTTGTTTAGCACAATGCTTACAAATCTTCTGACAAGTTACTAACTTGACTTGAATAAGTCTAGAATTGAATCTAGAGTTCTTAAACTCAATACTTTTCTACGGTTCTGAATTCACTTGCCCCTGATACGGGGATTTCTTCGGCCGAAGAATTTCTCAACTTGATAGTCGCGGAACTATGCGACTACTGTGGCTTGAATAAATACTGAGTGATCGGGTTTACCTACGGGGCAGTATCTGAACATCGGGAAAAGTTTTTACATTACTGAATATGCGATAACCTTACTGACTGATTACTAGGCACACAGATCTCTTGACGAGTTGCCAAAAGTTGGCCGATAATTACTGACTGGAAACCTGAAGAACTCTAGAGTCATCTCGGAAAAAAAATCCTAATGTCTAGAGTCATATCTGAATGCCTGAATACTAGAGTCATGCCCAACCTCTAGAGTCTGAATCTGAATAGAGCATCTTAACTAAAGTTCTGATCCTCA